TACAATGAGATGCGTGTCTTTTCATTTTAAGAGTACTTTGAACATTAGCAGTCGGTAGTCACCAAACTTCATTTGGCACATAACCGGGAAAAGTTCTCTGAGCTGACGGCCAATCTCCATTATTAGAGTGAGGGAGAGAGAGAGGGGAGAGAGAGAGAGAGAGAGAGAGAGAGAGAGAGAGAGGGAGATAGAGCCACCAAATGTTTTCTCTCTTTTCTTAAGAGATCCAACCTGAAAGATATCATAGTTCATATCCAAAAATCATCAACTTTAACCGATGATCGACATCAATTAATATGATCTTAGTGAAAGCCGTAAATTCGACAAATCTCTGTTGACAAAGATAATCTGAGTAACAATCTAATAACCGCTCAATAATCGGCTTTAGGATGACGAGGGCACGAGTTATGTTCGGCTCTAGATCCCACGCTCGCAGTTGACAAGGGTTCTAATCATTTAGATATTAATTTGTTGGGTGCGTTGTAAATTAAACGGTTCAAACCAGTAACGAAATTACTACGGAAGACAGAATTTGTAACATACCCGAGCATGCGATTTAGCCTTTCGATGACGTGCTTGGAATTAAGATTGCATTTAATTGTACCCAATAATCGATTTCAAATAATTAATTTGATTTGGATATAACTGATCTTGTCGTTATTACAATGGAATAGTATATCTTTTGGATAGTCTGTTTAGAAAATAGCGAAGTACCTAAGGTCATACCTACATCTATGTGTTTTAAAAGACCCTAAAAGCTATAATACTATGTTCAATATCCTTTACAGTTCAAGATGTAAATCTTACTTCTTACTGATATTCATCATTATCATCATCATCATCATCATCATCTCCTTATTCTACTCCCGTAGTGGCGCAACAGGTTTTTGTCCTCCACATAACTCTATCATACGTCATCTCAGTCATCACTCCCTTCTTGATCATGTCACCTTTTACACAATCTCCATCTCTTTCTAGCTCTACCTCTACCGATGTACCCTCCCACACTCATAACTAACGGTCTCTTTGTAACATGCGATTCATCCCTCCTCATAACATGCCCATACCATGCTAACCTTTTACTTCTTACCTTCTCTACTACGATATTATAAACGCTAAATTTTAGATGGATGGATGCATGTTTGTTAGAAGGTATTTCCAGAACGGCTTAATAGATATCGATGGAATTCGGCACAGTTGTAGAATATTCTGGAAGAATATTGATTATTAAGTTTTTTTAATTCTCCGTTGATGGAGTTCCGAGTAAAAGCTATGAAGAGTAAACAAAACAGATTGCGAACTTTACGATATCTATTCCACTTTATTGACCTTACACTTGTGAACAGTTTCTTGTAGAAGTTTGAGCGAAGTTTAGCACTAAAGGAAAAGATCAAAGGTGAGAGTTTCATCGGTTAGTCCACGGCTCCGTGAAGAATCTGAGCGATGCTCAATGATTCGGAACTCGGCCGCACTCGCGCCCGCGCCCGCGGCTAGAAACTTGCTCGATTAATTAAAAGTTTTTAAGGATATCTGCAGAGAATTTTGAACTATATATATAGAGTAATATAATTGCTTCTTGATAACATACAAAAGATGTAAATGGACGTAATTGCTAGGCAAAGGTCTCAAAAGTAGATATTAAATAAAACGCGTAGTGTGAACGCTCACTTCTAAGATAGTAATGTACACCTTGACTAAACTATCGCACAACTGTTTAGTCGCGCTATGATTCCTACGAGCTTTTGTGGAGGTGCGCAATACTCGATTTTTAGTTGTGCAACTAAACAGTTAAATGGGTTTCGAAACAATCGATAATCGCACAGCTGTGCTATAGTTGAGTCGTTGGTGTGCGCCCGCTCTTACTAACTGTAGTTACCACTATAACTGACACATCTTACTTAATAACTTCTGCGTGTATGTTTTACTACAAGTTACGTCAAGTTAGAATAACATGTAGATATTACTCGATTTATTAATTTAAAGGCCTGTCCCATCACTGGATAGATGCTCAGATAGCTTAAAAATGACGTCACTGTCAGATAAAGTAACAAAATCCGATATTTCCATCACATATTTACACGTTGGATTGTTATCAGACAATTTACAATTTGGTGGGACAGGCCCTAAACCTTGTAAGTTTCGGAAACGTGTTTATTACTGTTATACAATTTGAACATGACTAGACTAGTTGGTTTATTAGTGAAGTGGTCCCTAATGTGTACGCGTGTTAATTAATTTAAACTCTATTTCATTCGATGTGTTTTCAACGATTGCTTGTTATTCTAATAGCAACCCTGATACCCATGTAATATGGTTGATTTTATATGTATAATAAAAGCTTGTATTTCGTTAAAATTGTGATTAACAGGTCTATGGTTGATCCTACATTTTGTTTGTTTATTTTGTTAGTTAGTAATGTATTTATACTACAATAAGAAATATTAGTTCTCTAGTTTAAAACATACAAATATTATGACAGTCGTTAAGTCGTACTCAGAGTTATCTAATAATTGCGATTGTATTGCCTAAGTATTAATTAAACGGCTTTTAATGTTGTTGTTTATTTTACTCTAAGAGCGGCCGTACACATTGGACTAATCAATCGCACAATTGTTATGCGATTGTCAATTGTTTCGCAGCCAATTCAACTGTTCCTACAGCAAGACTAAACAGTTGTAAAAGTGTGCTTGCTCTCTTGAAGTGTTTTATCTTTTTATATCTGTTTTAAGACCGGAAGGTAAGAAGCTAACGGCGCAGTTAGAAACGAACTAAATGCTCGGATTTAGCTGACACTAGAAATAACGAGCCAGTCAGTACTTACGAGTTATGGAGTTACTAATAAACTGCGGAAATATGGTCCGTTAACGCTATTCTTAACGTTTATCAGTACGATTTATGTTTTTCTAGCTTTCGCCTGCGACTCCGTCCCCGTGGAATTAAAATAAAAGTTGCCTATGTGTTGTTCCAGACTATCATCTACGTCTGTACCAAATTTCTTCAAACTCCGTCCAGTCATTTAGGCTACCAACTCTAAACAAACATCCATCCAACTAAACTCTTGCGTTTATAATATTAGTATGATAATTATTTTGTTATTGTAAGTAGATTTTCTATACTGTTTTCGTTATATATTTAAGCCCAATTTTAGTCCCTTTACCTTTCCACCCCTTTTCTTGAGAGGAAAGGATGGGAAGGAAAAGTGGAGGTGGAGGAGATGCACAAGAAGGGGAAATATCATCTTTATGTATGCATCTGCAATTGCGGATTCTCTAATATAAAAAAATAAAGTTCCGTAGTTCGGAAACGCATTCCATGAATTTGTCCAAAAAGATTAACGAATGGTTAAATGTACCTGAGAAACTGGCCATAAGTCGCTGGTTTATAAAAAAAATATGAGTTAATTTTTAATTTCAAAAATTGGTCAAGGGTTCTTGAGTTTAAATTTCTTATAATATCTTTTAATTGCTTTTGCTTTAGTGCACTAGACGAATTTTATTTCTATGGCATGAAATTTTTTAATTTGGGGTTACTTAAAAAAGGTTTTAATGTTTCCTCGTCTTAATACTTTAACCCTTGCCTTAAAAGATTTGGTTGCTAATTCAATTAACAAAAACGACCTTTTAGTTTTTTTTTTTATTTTATGACGGTAAGCTTTAAAGATTGCTACGATAAGCGTCGCGTGCCTTATGGGCCGTTGAAAGCACTCAAATAGCCCACACCCGAAAGCATTCGGAGCCGGATGGGTTCGCAAATAAATCACAGATATAATACACACAAATTACTGTTATTACGTCGAAAGTGTGCTACCCTTGCTTTTATAGTAACTTCGAATGATTGCGGTTTTTTTTAATGTTTGAAAATTTTTTTTGAGTAATTATTACATTCAAACAAACTTGACTTAAGGTAACATGAGAGTAGGTAGTACACGTATGCCAGGTGGCATGTGCCAGTAGGATTGTAAATCTTCGCACTGTCTTGTCTTATCCGATCCCTTGTAATTAACATAAATTAATTCTCTATCAAGACGATTTGACTTGAGAAGGGTTTATTTTTTATAATTTAATTTAATTTTTTATAATTTAACTAGCTATTCCCGTGCGGCTTCATCCACATGAAATTATGAAAATTTTATTCTATTGTTTACCTACATTTGTCAAATTATCAATAGCAAATGTCAAAATGACATGACATGACAAACCTTAGCAATCTTGTTTCCTTGATGTTGGCAGCAACTTATTGTCTCTATTCCACATTAGGGTTTTTATCCCAAGTATTTACCGCTTAAGTTTAATGGCGTGAAAATATATAGCCTAAAGCGTGATGTAAGTGTAGGGCTTTTGATTAAAGAGAGAATTATTCAAAAATATGTTATAATTGCTGACATCTTAGGCAACAAAGAAGTGTGTGTTTACGCTTTATTAGTATAGATTTATCACTTTTTGACTGTAAATATTAAAAGTAAGCGCTTGTCCTTTTAGCGCCCCAGTCAGTAAGGAAGTGGAAGTTCTTGTGATGGAATGAGATCGATTCTCGCCGCTAGCAATAACTCTTGCTACCTTATTTGCCGGGAACTTTGATTAAACTCTGATTAATTAACTAGTCATGCTTCTGTGACGTTTTAATTGTTATTAAGTAAACTGTACAATGTGTTAACGTGAGTTTATATTGCTGATAATAATTTAGGACTAATACTAAGCGTATATTTCTATTGAAATGTACAGAAGGTTATCATAAATCGTTTCGTAACAGTTTCGAATTCGTATGAGATTTGTCGAAGAATTCACGCTTGGTAGGACACTACGCAAAATACAAATTTAGGCGATAGTGTTACGAAAACGTTCTCACGGATGTTCGAGATGAGGTCTCTGAAACTGTATAGGTACAACAACGTGAAATTCACATTCAAGTTTTTTTTATTTTAATTATAAGCGATAATTTATATAAATATTAAACTCCTTTGTAAACATACATTAGGAACTGATATGAATTGTCTTTCGCAGATCGGTTCACTGAGAGGATACTATTTACTGTCGCATCACGAAGTACATAAAAGGTCAACGGAGCCGAGTCATGAACATCATCGTAAGCTGAACGATGAACCTGAGGTAAGTTCTATTTTCATTGAAATTAGTAAAAATATCTCATGCCCGTGAGTCAGAGGGGTAGACTCTTTTACATAAGATTGTAATGTGTGAACATCATTATAAAAATGTGCACGCTAGTCGGCTATGAACGTCTGTCTATATGTCACATTTCCCATATGTTTATGGTTCATTTAAAAACCCTTTCTACCTTTAAACAAAGCGCAAATACAAATAGCTGTTTCTTTACTTTTTACTATTAGAGTATATTTTCGGCTACTATTGATGCACGACTTGCAGAATAACAAACAAATTCAAATAAAAGCGTCAAAAGCTTTTTATTTGTAGTAGCGAGCTATTTTTCCCTCGGACGTCTGTTGCTCTCCAACAACTGTGAAATTGCTCCGTCCGAATACGCGAGACGACTTGTTTAGAATAAAGGATGTAAAGAATTGCATGTTCTGCAATGTAAAGAAGTTTGTAGTGTTCTCTCGGAGTAACTCAAAATTGCCTCTACAGAGTGAACTACGTTTGAAGAATATTGTATATGTTGGATGTTTAAGAATATAACAAAATTAAAACATTTTAAACTAGCTTTCGTCCACGATTTCGTCCGCGTGAAATTAAAGAAAGTCAGCAGTGTCCTTCCAGACTACCCTATATGTGTATACACCAATTTTCATCGACATCCGTTTAGTCGTTTGGGCTACAAACTCGTAACAAACATCTATCCATCTAAACTTTCGAATTTATAATATTAGTATGATATATTACTATTTTGACCAGTTTATCTAAAAATTGAAGAAAACATTATTTAGTTAACTTTTTTTTTGCTAGGTACGATGGTTCCAACAACAACGGGAGCGGCGGAGAGTAAAGCGGGATTACACGCAGCGCGACGCCGGCCTCTGGTCACAGTTCAGTCGACGTATGCCTTCCCACCGCACCCGACACCGGGCCCTCAACCCCACGCCTTTCTTCCCTGATCCATTGTTCAAGGAACAATGGTATTTGGTATGTGATATTTAGTTTGCTTTGCAATTACATCTTCATACACCCTTCATTTAAAACATGACGAATTTTTTTATTTACTATGTTTGTCTTGAACAGTTAATGAGCTTTTAAAATGACTATAATCTAATATGTAAATATATTTGTAGAATGGAGGAGCAAAAGACGGTCTAGACATGAACGTGGCCCCAGCTTGGCAAAAAGGTTACACAGGAAAAGGCGTGGTTGTTTCCATTCTTGATGATGGTATACAAACGAATCATCCAGATTTAGCGCAAAATTATGTAAGTGATCGAATTGGTTAGTTTGATAAAAGAAAATCTTGCCACTAGATTATACTGCATATATTTTCAGGATGCTAACGCTTCAACAGATATAAACGGTAACGATGACGATCCAATGCCTCAAGACAATGGTGATAACAAACACGGTACAAGATGTGCAGGGGAAGTCGCTGGAGTAGCTTATAATCAATATTGTGGTGTTGGTATAGCTTACAACGCGAGTATAGGTGGTGTACGGATGTTAGACGGTGTAGTGAATGATGCTGTTGAAGCTAGAGCGTTAGGATTAAATCCAGACCATATAGACATATACAGTGCTTCCTGGGGACCTGAAGATGATGGCAAGACTGTTGATGGTCCTGGACCATTAGCAAGAAGGTATATTTTTATTGTCATTTAATGAATTGGTATAAAATTATAAGAGCTTTATCTTATTTGGCTATTTCTTTTTTTAGGGCCTTTATATACGGTGTTACAAGTGGTCGACGGGGAAAAGGCAGTATATTTGTTTGGGCTTCAGGAAATGGTGGAAGACATACAGACTCTTGCAATTGTGATGGTTACACAAACAGCATATTCACGCTATCTATTTCTAGTGCTACTCAAGGAGGATACAAGCCGTGGTACCTAGAAGAATGCTCGTCCACTCTTGCTACCACCTATAGTTCAGGTACACCGGGACACGATAAGAGTGTCGCAACCGTTGATATGGATGGTCGGTTAAGACCTGATCATATATGCACCGTAGAGCATACGGGAACATCAGCATCTGCGCCTTTAGCTGCTGGAATTTGTGCATTAGCCTTAGAAGCTAATCCTGAATTAACCTGGAGAGATATGCAATATCTAGTTGTTCTTACATCACGACCACAACCTCTAGAAAAAGAAACCGGTTGGATTATAAACGGAGTTAAAAGAAAAGTAAGCCATAAATTTGGCTACGGTTTGATGGATGCATCAGAAATGGTTAGTTTAGCAGAGCAATGGGTGTCAGTACCGCCACAGCATATTTGCAAGTCACAAGAAATTAACGAAGATAAATCAATAGATTCTTCATATGGTTATACTTTAAGTGTTCACATGGATGTAAATGGTTGTAGCGCGACAGTAAATGAAGTACGTTATTTAGAACATGTGCAGTGTAAAATATCACTAAGATTCTTCCCCAGAGGAAATCTACGAATCCTTCTCACGTCTCCAATGGGGACCACATCAACTCTTCTCTTTGAAAGACCGAGAGATGTCGTGAGTTCTAATTTCGATGATTGGCCATTCTTAAGCGTCCATTTCTGGGGAGAACGTGCTGAAGGCAGATGGACCTTACACATTGTAAATGCTGGAAACAGACACGTTAATCAACCCGGAGTGCTAAAGAAATGGCAGTTAATATTTTATGGCACGTCAGTCGAACCGGTTAGACTTAGAGGCAAAAGGCCTTCAGCAATCGCTCCTCCTTTCGCA